AAACCCTGTCTTGAAAAACCAAAAAAAAAAAAAAAAAAAAAGGAAAACTATCTTTTAAAATCAAATCACTGGAAGGAACACAACAGCACATTAATTCATTCTCCAGGGCAGTGTCTTGGGCTCAACAGTTCTAAATGTATATCCCGTTCACACTGTTAAAGTATTTATACCAGAGGTTCTCAATCTTAGCACCATGTACGTTTGTGGCTGGACAGTTTGTTGTTGCTGTTTTGAGACAAGGTCTCATACAACCTTGTAGTATGCTTGTTATGTGTCCTGGCCTTGAACTCCTGATCTTCCTGCCTTCCAAGTGCTGGGACTACAGTATACATTACTCTGCCAGGCTTCAGTTGGATTCCTTCTTGTTGCAAGGAGTTGTCATGTGTATTGTAGGATGTTTCTAGCATTTCTGGCTTCTACCTACTACAGATAACAAGTAAAGGTGATATGGAGAGAGAGCTGCTGGCAAAGCTGTACCTTGGCTGGAAAATCCTCAATGACTTTCACCAAATCTTGGCAACGCTGTGCAAAGGGCTTATTTATAGAGTCAGCTTTCAGGCTAGCCTAGGAGACAATGTGAAAGAGTCATGAAGAGACTTGCTATGTAGCTGCAAATAGTCTGTGTCTATCCAAAACAGAAGCACAAGCAACAGAAATACATAACATGTTGCGTTGTTCCAGCACTTCATGCATATGCCAGAGGCCCACAGGAAGCTTCCAGAAGAGAGAAGCTATAATTCTATCACGTTTAGACCAGGAATTCTCAGGTGCTCTCCTCTAAGCATACTGTTACCTCACAGAGTTGTATCATCAAAAGGAAACTGATTCCCACCGGCCCACAAATAGGGGTCAGCACTAGGATCAGCTCTGCAGTCAGGACAGGATCCCTGTTGTATGGGGAAATCTTACTGAGTCTTCAAGTGTTGAGTTCATTGCCAGAAGGTGCAAACTTCCCACCTCCTCAACAACCCACAACTGCTAAAAACGTGTAGCATAGCAACTTACTGGAATTGTCACCTCAAAACTAATGCAGTCAGGAGAGGGTTTGGAGGGAGAAAACAGAAGTGGGAAATGATATAATTATAAACTCCAAAAATAAGAGAAATAATATTTTTAAAATCACAAAAAATAAGGTAGTCTAAAACTACAGATGGCCTCAGCCAACTCAATATTCATCGAGATAACAAATAAACCAGCAAAACACTCAGAACAGAAACCAAGGAGATCTACCAAAGGTCCTGAGATATGGGCACAATACCAACTCCATGGAGCAGTGGCCTCTGGGCAAACAGACTGAGATCAGAGATGCTAGTCATTCAACAAGAAGGACTGGACCAAGGGTACCTAACACCCTGACCACCTCTAAACAAGCAGGGATTGCAAGAGCCCTGTCTCAGAAAGGAAAATCTGACACTTCAGGTCATGGGCCAAGCCAGGTGGCTCCAGGAGGTTACACTAAAAAATAAATATTCTTAAAAAAAAAAAAAAAAAGAAAAGAAAGCTGGGCAAGGCGGCTCACAATTTTAATCCCAGCTCTTAGGAGTCAGAGGCAGGCAGATCTAAGTTTGAGGATAGCCTGGTCTACAGAGTGAGTTCCAGGACAGCCATGGCTACACAAAGAAACTGTCTTGAAACACAAAAACAACAAAAACAAAAAATAAATCTTCTGGCAACTGCAATGAAGAATCTCTTCCCACCTGCTTCCCCAGCTTCATATTCTAATACTTAACATAAAGCCCTAATAGGGCGTGGCATCCTTCTGTGTTTCACTGACAACTATGATTAGAATATTTCACACATACACAGAGCTTACGCATCACTCTGGTAAATGTTCTCACTTTGGAAACTAAGGAAAATAACGTTTGCATCAATTATTGGTTTTGGTTTCTTTCAATTATTGTTTTGTTTTTGTTTTCAGATGGAAGTTTGACTGTGTAGCTCTGGCTGCCTTGGAAGTCACTCTAAGACCAGACTGGCTTTGAACTCACAAGAGATCTACCTGCTTCTGCCTCCCAAGTGCTGGAATTAAAGGTGTGTGCCACCAAGGCCGTGAACTCTCAATGACCTTCCTGTCTCAGCTTCCCCAGTCTTGGCTGAATCCAGTCCCTTGGTAATGAAATCAGAGCTCAGAGACTAAACACACCCTGTACCCTGCACTCACAGAAGGCATGGTAAGCATTCTAATGCTGATTCTGGTATTATTTCCTATTAAAAACAAAACAAAACAGTAAGAGTCTTCAAATCCACTGAGTATGGTGGCACCTGCCCACAATAATCCCAGCACCTGGGGAGCTGAGGCAGGAGGGACTTGAGTTCAAGAGGCTGCACAGCCAGGTATGGTGGGACACACCTTTAGTCTCAGTACTCAGGAGGCAGAGGCAGTTGGATCTCTTGTGAGTTCAAAGCCAGTCTGGTCTCAGAGTGAGTTCTAGGACAGTCAGGGTTATATATAGAAACCCTATCTCAAAAAACAAAGAAATAGGGGGCAGGCAGCTTGTCTCCTAAAAATGAGTCCTTCAAATCAGTGGAAAAAAGTTCTAAGTCCCTCAGCTATAGAATTACTATCATCAACACTTCCAAAGGCAGCTGATACTTACCAGAAGGAAACTAGGCTGTTGTAAGTGAGGGAACGCCATAGCAGCCTTCCAGGGCAAGCAAGAAATGGCTGCCTTAGGGAACCACTGTGGAAAAACAAAGACAAAATCACAATATCGCCTATACCACAGAATTATACAATTTCACAATGCCCAGAACATTTGTTGAACTCAGCACAAATCACACCACATATTCCTTTGATTTCTAAAATACAAACTCTTACAGAGCACAGCAGCCAGCTTCAGATCTAGCTCTGTAGTGGCAACTCCTTGATAATGCTTAGATGCTAGGGTGACTCTCAGAGCTTTTCATTTATTTCCTAATTACCAGTGACAGGCAGAATTCCTGACTATTCCCCAAGACTCTTCTTGCTTATCAATTCAATCAAACACCCATCTAAGTGCTATTCTAAAGAGACTTTAATAAAAGAACCAACTACAGTACAATGTCATGGACTTTAAGATACAGAGCAGAGCTTAGCTAGAATTCAAGACCTCAAAGAAACTGGATTCTGACAGCAACTTGAATAAGCTTGGAAGCATACTCTTCCCTAGAGCCTGCAGATTAGACCAAGTCTTGATCTGGGCCTTCTAATACCCTAAGCAGATAACTCAGTGTCTGTCTGGACTAGTTACTATGCAACTATGAGAGAGCAAATACAAAGAATGCTAAGTAAGGCATGACTAGGAAATAAACCTTCACAATAAGTCCACAAGACTGATGCAAATAAGGAAACGGGGTAAGAAACAGCAAAAGATTTCTCAACACCCACCTAACAATCAGCAGAGCCAAGATTTTAGTAAACTCCTTACAAATCTCGCATCTGTAAGAAAAGGGTAAACCAAGGAACGTGTGCTTCTTGCAACAAATGAAGAGCAAATTCTATGAAGGAAGCATTTGAACTCGCCACCAAAAATTAGTATCGCTCTGCAGCTTCCTATTTCCCAGTCCCTGTGGTGAGAATCACAAAATACTCAGAGTTGGAAACAGCAGAGAGGAAGCCTCCTATGTACCACTGATGGACTAGTGATAGCTTTTCTGTCTCAGCTCTGCTCACTACAGGAGGAAAGGTGCTAAGCTGGCAATGTCAGTCTGTGACGAGAGAAGCTGGACAGTAGGAGTTTAAGGCAGTTGTAGTTTTGAAAGGAGACCACCAATCTTTGCCATGTGGCAAGAGAAACAATTCTCAGGGTTTGGGGGGTTTTTTGTTTGTTTGTTTTCCAATTCTTAATTCAGTCTCAGTGTTAGGGAAAACTTAAAATGTTTCAGTCCTACATTGCAAACTACCCTGAAATGATCAGGGCAGCATAAAATTGTGAACTACTTGATAAAGGCAGAGCTCTAGAGGAGACAAGTAATTAACTCTCTCCTCACAAGAAGCAGGCAGCTGAAAAATCAGAGATGTCTAACGAACGTGGAAAGACAGAGATGTCTTTCCACGAAGAGGGCAGCGACTCCGATACACTTGCTTTTAGGCCCTGTCAGCCACGCCCCATGCCAGTGTGCATGCAGTGCCGAAGGCCTTCGCTTCAGCCGACCCCTCAAAGCCCATTTTCTTCAAGAGCTGCTTCCGATTGTTTTTGAGGTTTCTAATGACTACGAGCCCCAGCCAAGCTTATCGCGCCACTGTCAAGACCTCTGAGAAGCTGCAGCTTGCCGTCAATTGTTGATCACAACTGTTCTATACCGCCAAAATTTCGAGACTAACCTATTACACTGAAGAGGAGGAAAGTAGAACCTGGACCTACCACGAGTTCTACGACCAATATAGCTAGCTGAGCCCAAGGTTCAATTTTCCCTCCAAGTCCCCCTCCCTCAACTCCCGCATCGAGCGTTCATCAAGCCCCTACCCGGACTGTCTGCGAAGACCACGCAGGAAGGCGGCAGAAAGCCATGACCCTGGAGGGCGGGGTGAGGGTGCAGCTGGGCCCTGGGCTCCCGGCCGGCCCTCTTCAGGCCGAGCTGCCGGGAGGCCACGAGTCCCACAGCTCGAGGAGGAACGGAGGCAGCCTCGGCAGGGACCCGAGAAAACCGCAAAGTGCTGAGATGCCTCGCGCGCGGCTCCCGCCACTCACCTGCCGTTCAGATAGCACAAATCTCGAGGTTCTCAGAAATGGGAGCCGCCATTCGGCCACTCGGCGCCTAATGTCGTCATCAAGCTGCGCCGGGAGCCACGCCCCCTTCTTTTGGCGGGAATCCGAGAGGCTCAAAGTAAGGTCTGAAATGCAGAGGACAACAGGAATACACATCAAGAGAAATAGGTATTGGCAAGACTTTTCGACACAGTACTTTACTGACACAGAAATATCCTAGAGAATTAAAATGGTACTACGTGAAATAAAAAAGTTTCTACAAAGAGGCTGTGGTGATACACACCTTTAATCCCTGCATTCAAAAGGCAGGATCTCTGAGTTCAAAGCCCACCTGTTCTAGCGAGTTTCAAGATAGCCAGGATTACACAGAGAAACCCTGTTTGAAAAAAAAATTTTTAAGCAATCAATAAATGAAACTCCTTTGAAAGAATTCTCGCTGGTTAAGAACCAACAAATATACAAGCACACAAATAAAAAGCTCCAATAAACCAGGCAGTGGTGGCAGCGCACGCCTCTAATCCCAGCACTCAGGAAGCAGAGGCAGGCGAACCTCTGTGAGTCTGAGGCCAGTCTGGTCTTGAGAGTGAGTTCCAGGACAGCCAGGGCTACACAGGAAGCCCTTTCCCAAAAAAACAACAAACAAAAAATCCTCGTACTTCATAAGCTAATTAAAAATGTTAAAAGCCGTTTGTTAGAGCCCTTAAAGAGTGCTTCAAGTAAGAAACCTGCACAAAATAGGTAAGTACACGCAATCATGAATTCCCATTATCCAACAGGATTTACCAAGTACCCAGCATATGCCAGACACTGTTTCTGGGTGCTGCTACCTAAACCATCGGTCTATAAAGGATCTGATAGTCAGGCAGCAGATAGCTTTGCACCACAACATGCCCATGGCTAGCACACTGCCCTGTGCATATTAAGCACTCAGAACAAGTCAAGCAACTATGCTTGCCCTGGGTGCTGGAGCTGCAGCAGACTGTCCAGCAGGGCCCGGCAAGGAAATGGATGGCCAGTAGCTGGCGCTGTGGAGGTTCTTCACCAGCTAGGCTACTGCAGGGTGGAAGGGAATTGGGGGTAGGGGGGAGTCGGGAAGTGGAGGAGGTGCGCTTCAGGCTGCTCAGCTGCCAGCTGGTGACAAGGCTGGACTCAGGGCTTTCACAGGACTGAAGGAGGCGATGCTGCAGAAGCTGAGGCATGAATGGAAAAAGGTGCTGGGCACCAAGGAGATGGATCTGTACGAGCTTGGGCAGGCTGCGAGTCTGGACTTCTAATCATATTCCCTGCAGACACTCCTGGTTTGGGACCTCTCCAAACCTCATCTACTACTCTGAAAAAGCCCCACCACCATCACCATACATACCTCAGTCCATGTTTTCTCTCTCCTTCTTCTCACTCTTGCTCCCTCCTCCTCTCTCCCTTTTATTTTTGTTGTTTTTGTTTGTTTGTTTAGGTGTTTTGTTTTGTTTTGTTTCATGGCTTTTTTTTCTTTCTTCTTTTCTGAAACTCACTATGTAGACCAGGCAGGCTTCGACTCTGACTTCAGGAAGATGGGATTAAAGGCTAGGTTTTCAGGACAGTGACCCAGATGGCCCCAGTCGGCCAAGTCTTGGAGTAGGTCTGTCCTGAAAGCTACAGGGTCCATCATGCCTTCTTCTACAGCTACGGGAATAAAGATGACCTAGGTCTCTGCCCTGACATCACAGCTTCAGGACAGTACTCCGAGAACAGGGCCAGCAACCCCTTACCTGTAAACCTCTCCCGGGCCCAGGTCTTGTTCCTACCCACACAGCAGGCAGGGCTCCACTCCTCCTATATTTATATTATATGGATTGTAGTACTAGAGCCACCTGACTGCCTTGGGACAGAGTAGAGATCTGAGGTGGCAGAATAGCTCCATGCTTAGCTGTGAAGGTCTCACTTTGCTCTCATAGCAGAAAAAGGGGAGACCTCAGAAGTATAGTGTGGGAAAAAAACGCGGCGGAGTCCTAGAACTGCGTGGTGGTGACCCACAGGGGGCTTTGCAGCGGAGTCCCGGAGGCTTTCCACACTGGCGGGTCTCACAAACAGGAAAAGGTCCAGAGTTCCAAAGGCTGGAAGCTTCGGCGATGGCAGTTCCCAATGATACGAAAAGTCCGTGGGTTCTAAGAGTTTTATTGCCATGGTGTGGTAGTTGGATCTGGATGTGTGCCCCCCCCACCCCAGTTCAGCCAGGAGAGAGCTGGCTTAAGTAGGGGAGGGGGAAGAGGGGCTGGGAAAAGGAATAACTTAATTGAGCTATGCCCCCTGGCCTTTAGGTAATTCATGAATATGGAAATCTCTTGAGGCTGAAGCCTGTAGTCACACCCTCTACCTGTAGGTGTGGGTGGTGACACAAACCCCTCTGGGAAGAGCTACTCTGAGCCAAACACGTCTGCAAGGTTCGGGTTAATGGGGATATAGACTGAGTGTAGGAGTCTGGAATCCGGAGGCGTGGGGAGATATGTGCCGTCCTTACCCAGGCAATGGTCACCTGTTGGGTCTCCGTCTATCTCATACCCACTGCTCTACTGGGGAGACCAAATCATCCCTTCACGGTCCTGCAGTATAGAATAGTGGAGCCTGAGATGGCTCCATGGGTAACATTGTAATGGGGAACTGATTTGAATCCCTGCATCCCTGTAAAGAGCTTTGTGTACCTATAAATAATCCCAACACTTCAGGGGGAGACAGGTACATCCTGAGAGCTCACTGATCCAACAGCCTAACTGCAAGGGTGAGCTTCTGGTTCAGTGAGAGACCCTGGCTTGTTGGGAGCCGACTCCTAGCAGAAAGCGGCTACCATCTTTGCTGCCATATACCCTGACAAGAAACTTGTTTTCAACAGCCCGAAACAACTGAGCACACTCTGATAAACATCTTGTTTTTCTCACATATCTTGTTTTGCTCTTTAGTGCCACCAGCAGCTAGGTGCATGTGGTCTCCTCACTGCAAGGCACATGATGTAGTGCCTTCAGCTGTGCTTGTCACTGCAAGGCACGTGGTAAAGGGTATAAATACCCAGGCTTTCCTTTCACTAAAAGAGACTTGATCAGACTCCCTGTCTCGTCTCCATTCTTTGAGTCTCTTGCCCCAACTCTCTCTCTTGTTAGACCCTGACCCGAGCAGCAGAATGGGCCGTTACAAAGTGACCCCCGAACGTGAGGCAGCTTGGGTGGTTACACTGGCTCAAGGCAAGAAGACAAAGAGCAAAAGGAAGTCACCCAGTATTCTGCTCTGGCATCAACATGGGCACACATGGTCATGCACACTGCCACATATACATATAAACATGAACAGATGTGGTCACGTACATCACCACAGGTACATATAAACATGTACACACATGGTCATACACACTACCACATATACATTTTTACATACAAAAAGCTTACATGTACATACGCACACAGAGATGATGAGCAAAATGGTCTGTGAGGGAAAGTGAGTCATTCCAGAACTTTCTGTTTAGGTTTAGAGTAACCATGTGTCTCATCAGGACATGTAAGGTATACTCTGTTGTGTAGATGTCAGGAATCTCACATGAGCTACTAGCTAGTCAGTGCCCTGAGCCACGTGAGGGTGCTATTGTCAAGGAACACTACTTGTGCGAACACATTGAAGGACTGGTATTAAAATAAAAGCAAGTTGGGTGTGGTGGCACACACCTTTAATCCCAGTGCTATGGAGGCAGAGGCAGGCAGATTGTGAGTTTCAGGACAGCCAAGGCTACCCCCCCCCCCAAAAAAAAGCCCAAAGAAAATTAAAGCAACAGCTTATGAATATACACCGATGACATGTTAAAATGATGTCTTAGTTATGGTTTTACTGCTGTGAACAGACACCGTGACCAAGGTAACTCTTATAAAGGACAACATTTAATTGGGGCTGGCTTACAGGTTCAGAGGTTCAGTCCATCATCAGCAGATGGGAGCATGACTTCATTCAGGCAGGCATGGTGCAGGCAGATCTGAGAGGTCTACATACAAATCTATGTGTGTAGTTTGGATTCATCTTCTATTGGGGTAGTATTGCCCAGCACTATCCTCTAAGCCAAACAACTACCATCTTTGTGAGACCCATGATGACTGCTTATGAAAGATTAGTATGGCTGGGCTTGTTGACTGTTTCTATTCCTCCATAGAGAAGTGGTAAGCAGGTCACTGGACCCCCACCAAGTGCCCAGACTCTACTCTCAGCCAGCTGCATGCACCTCTGCCCTAATTGTACATAGCCTGGTGGGTTCTGGGAAAAGGCTAGAGCATATAGGCTTGGGAAGACGAGACAGGTCCACCTATGCAGCTGTTGGGATCAAACACATAAGACTTATCCTAAGTACTGCCATTTTATTTTCAGATTCCATTTTGATCATAAAGTGAAATTAAGTTCAAGTTCCCAAGCTCTGGGGGAGTTCTCCAGATGGCTAGCCAGTTTCCAGCTGATTCTTCTTGTCTTCCTCAGAACATAATGATTGTTCCTAACCACAAAAGAACAAATGATTCTGATGGATAAAAAAATTGTGACTTACTGCCGAGCAGTGATGACACACACCTTTAATCCCAGCACTTGGGAGGCAGAGGCAGGCAGATTTCTTGAGTTTTGAAGCCAGCCTAGTCTACAGAGTGAGTTCCAGAACAGCCAGGGCTACACAGAGAAATCGTGTCTCGAAAAAAAAAAAAAAAGAAATTGTGACTGTAACTGGCACAGATGCTTATGGTTTTCATGCTTATAAAACTGTAACGTTCTTTCTGGGGGTAGGGTGGATTGCAGTTTAGCTCCTGAGTCTGCTCTTTGGCCCTGATTGATCAGTAGCTCCTGAATAGAATACATTTTTGTCACCTGCTTACTAAGAAGAACATTTGAGGATGCAATCAATTCTAAGTCTGTGCTGTTGTCTCTGACCAGTCAGTTTTTGTTCCTTAATTCACATAAACATCTTCCTTTGCTGGACTCTTGTGCCTGCTTGGGTTATTTGGGATTTTTGGACCCCGACAGAAGAGCCAGGTGTTCCTTTCAAGACCCAGTGACTCCTGAGGACAAGCTC